CAAGTTCTGGTGGGCAACTAAGAGTAATGTCAACATTTTTGTTGTTCTGGAGACTTTGGGAATACCCTGACCAACAGATCATAGAGAGGTATCTCACTCGTAGCACTGAGTTTTTATTTAATAATTTGTGGCTTCTTGGAGTAGCATTATTTATATCTATTCAATTTTGTGTTAGACTTTTTAAATTAGCTTACAAAATAATGCTTTCTATGTGGTCTACATGATGTTCTTTATCTTTACTTTTTGTTTAGCTTTTTCCTCTCACCATGTCTTATCCCCTGTATTCTCCCACTCACGTCCTACCTTTAACCTTTCACCTCCAGTGTTGCCCAATCTGTTCATTTGTTAATGTGAACGTTGGAACATTTGAAACCCCTTGCCTGGCTCTTAGTATTTTCAATTGTCCAGTGGTCATCTAGCAAGTCATGGCAGCTTTGTAAACCTACAGCTGCTGAGGATATGTTGCAAAAAGTGTTCTGGACTTAACCTTGGGTTGATCTAGTTCTGCCATTCATAGACTGCACAACGTTGTATGTATATATATATATATATATATATATATATATATATCTGAATCTCAGTCCTCACAGAAGAGTGTACAAATCACAAATCACTGAAGAGATTTGGTCCAGCGTAGTCTTCAGCAAATACATAGAGTGGGATGATCATCTCTCTAGATAACTTCAAGAAGACATATTCCTGTGAGTGGCCTTGGACATGAAACCAAGATGACAGAAGAGAAACAGTTGTTGTGGTGTCTGGTGTTTCCGATTGGCTCTTGGTGACTCTGTATCCTCTTCCTGGGCAGGATAAGCACTTGAAAGTGTGGCTATACAAACTGATCTTGCCACCTGGGTTCTTCTGAACAGCACCCAGGGAGGGGCACACCTGTCCCATCCTTAAACCCATGGTAACAAGTCACTGATCAGCACAATTGGCTCTAATAGCTCCCCAGGTGGATTCCAGAGAGCAATGAGCCGAACATAAAAATCCCTTTATTATTGCCATTTCGCTTTTATATACCCATCAAGCTTTCATATTTAATCTCCTACATCACAATAGCTGATCATTTTTAACATTTGACATTGATAGAGTGCCCACTGCTATTATTCTGACATACTATAAAACATTACACCCATTTGCAATAGAAAAGGCCAAGAATCAATACCCAGCCCCATTTTCCACTATGGCCGTAAATCATGAAGCACCTAACAAATTGGTTTAAGTAGAAGAAACTTCAGAACCAATGAATGGCCTGACCAATCCCACCCCCTGTTAGAGCTGACAGAGACCTGGAGGCCTGGGGGCTGGACAACTAGGGAATGGGAAGGGTTGGGAAAGAGCCAAACTGCTTTGTAGGCAACGAGAATTCTCTGTGGACAACACTCTGTCTCTCTCGGGGACAACAGAGATAATGGAGAACACCTTTATTCTGCTGATATCAGCTTCACCTCTAACCTTAAAGCAAGTGACCACTGAACGAGGAAGCTAGTGACTTCCTGCTTTCTATCCTATCTTTCTAAGGTTCAAAGACCCATTGTCAAGATTATTGTCTGTTTTGCTGGTTGCCACATTCACTGGAACAATAAGTTGCTAAACTGAATTGATTAGTTACTTAATCAAACTGACCAGGATGAATTAATCAAGTAAGCAGTTCAAAATGGCTAAAGTCAAGATTTAAGAAAAGTCATGGGTTTCACCACTGCTTAATATATTTAGGGTGAATGCCTGGGCTAAGTATTCAGCCATTATCCTTGAATTTGAAAGGAATGACATTTTTAAGATAGAGAAGATTTAGATATTTAGAAAATTATATAATCAATATGATTGAAGTACCTTATGTATATATGTGAAGATGTCATAATGAAACCAATTACTCTATACGGTTAATACACATTAATAAAAAGAACCCATCATTGTTTATTATTCATTGGTCATCATCTATGTCAAAGCTCTACTGACTTGTTGAACAACATTAAAAGCTTCTAATAACACAAGCTGCTAAATTGAAAATCACCTGGGCATGTTCTGACTCAGTGTAGATGTTGGGATGCTGTAAAATTCCAGCAGCACAAGGAGCTGGCACTGAGACAACAGAAAAGAAAAGCAATGGACTTGTCAATTTATTCTCATAAAAGAGACATTTTATTGATGTCCAGTACAGGAGAGCATGCTGACCTGGCTTCTATGATAGGTGGAATACTTAAATTCACACATGAACCAGACTTTTGTAGAATAGATTCCTCTCTTCTATTATCTATATTATAAGCTCAGAGCTGATTTTCCTACACTTCAATTAACAGTGAGTCTACATTGGTTGTCTTCCTCTTCCTCTTAATGATTCTATATAAAATGAAGAGCTTTGGTCAGATCAGTATCTTATAAAGAAACATTCCTTTACCAGAGATTTGTGAATGGTCCCCATCACCCCTCTCTTCTCACTTGTAATGGCAAGTGAAGGACGTCACTGGCTGCATACTTACAGGTTCTTTTTGCCTGGCACAGAGTACTACGAACACAAAGTTAGGACACAGAAGTCTGGTTCAAACCTCATCCTGCCATTTTCCATTTCTATGATGGCAGGATAGATGAGACATATGACCTCCTTATGCATTAGTTATTTCATTTGTAATGGGGATAGTAATTCCCTATTTCTTTCATGAGATCCCTAATGAGGAAATGAGATAATGAGAGTAAAAGCATTCGCTATTATTGTTATTACTGGTAATGCAATAATAACAATGAACTATGACGAGAGAAGAAACAAGATAAACTGTCATCACATCGGTTCTACTTTATGCCAGTGGGAGCCAATCTTCATGTTTACAGAAGAAACTTAGTGGGAAAAGCAGAGGCCTCAAATCCAGGCCCCTCAATATATATCTTGGGAATTCAGTCAGAATCACAGTTAGATACATGTAGGTCTTAGAAGACTGCTAAATCCTAAAAGAAAAAAAAAGGTTTTTTTTCCTGCGTGTTGCCCTTTTCATAAAGTGTTTTTGTGTATATTTTGTAGAATTGTCTTCTTTACTGACAAACATGTATTGAGTGCCTCTTCTATGCCAGGCACCATGCTTCATCGTGAATGTCTATTGAGGCAGACATGGTGTTGTTTCCCTGATTTTGAAAATCCCAAGCTTTCTGCTACATCTGGGTCATTCCCCCGTCCCCATCCTTTCAGACCCTTGGACATCAGAATGGTGGAAGCTGAGTGCCTATTACTTTGAAATTTCCTCAGATAGTTCCAGCATACAGGCTCCATGGCTTATGTGTTAATTTATCAATAGCCAGAAGATACCATGGCCAGAAATCAACTTTCTTTCAGTCACCTATCTATTTCAAGATAAGATTACTGGCTTTTGGCTTCCCTAAAATTGGGGCACAATTAGTATTTGAGTTTAGCTCTTGGACGTTTACCACAAGGCTACAAAACAGGTCAGGTCTTTCATTACTAATTTTCTGTTCTGTGATTGACTCACCCCCAAACAGCCTTCTTTGTTTGGCATATGGACTACAGGCCTCCTGTCTATAGACACAAAGGACCAGGCAGAAATAGCATTGCTCCTGTATTATCAAGCATGAGTTGGTTCTCTTTGGTTTAAAATCTATGTTTAGAGCTCAGATGAGGGGGAGGAAGCCCAGAAAGAAAGTGAAGGAGATCCAAGTCAATTCCCTGGCAACTTAGTCATATTAGTCTCAGCACCAAAGCAACCCTCTAAGTACTGCTTGAATTCATAGGCCTGCACAAGGGCTCTTCAGAGCATTTCCCTCTCAGTCATCGGGTGTGAACTAGCTCTTGGAAACCCTGTGAGACTCAGGGAAGTTGTCACAACTTCTTCACTATCAACCATGAAGTTCAGGTTCAAAGCATTCCAAGAACCAACACCCTCCCCCCCCCCGCATCCAACAGGTGCAGTGTCTATGAGGGTAAAGCAGTGTATCTCTATTGTAATCTCATTGCTTCTTACTGCAGTTTCTGACATGTCTTGGGCCTTTTGTAGACTTCCCTCCATGGTCCTTGAGGGTCTCTTTAGATACCTTTTTAAAAAAATACCTTTTGCCCAAGCCTCACTTGAGTCTAGCAAGCAAATTTTTTATTTTGCCTGTGGTCTCTCCTCTGTACTAGGAGCTATTCCTGGCTTATAGTTACTGCTGCTGATTTTGCAATTTTATGATTTCAGTGGAATGGAAATGTATCTTATCCCCCATAGAACTGCCCAGAGCCCTTTGTTGGAAACTGATTTTTGGTAAAAATGATGTTGAAGTGAGATGGCAAAGATTTCAAAGGGCCAAGAGCTCACCAGAAGTCACCAGCTCCTCCCCGGATGCAGGACTTCTCATCCTAGTCAAGTGACAAACCTCGGGTAGCCCATCATGGTTGGGAGCTTGTGCTTAGCAGCCAAGGACAGTTCTTTGACGTCAGTCACATTCCATCTTGTTCAATCCTCACAGTGGTTTTGGAAAACCGCCCTTCGATTAAGCTTACCATGCTGGAATCCACAGCCAAGGGAGCCTGTAGACTTTCCTTCTCAAGCATGCTGGATGAAGGCAAAAACCCAGCCTTAGAGAGTTCAGGGTTATATACTGGCGAGGGGCTGGAGGCTGAGGACTCCTGAATACCCTTAAGAATATCAAGCAACATGTTTTAGAGGATGGAAGGCAAAGGCACAGGAGCCAGTACCTCTTCCCAGAAACAGGACGGATGAATACATAACACCAAGGGCTGATGCAGACCTCATGGTAAAAACATACAGGATGCAGGCAGTGTTCAATAATCTGTTTTCAGACCCATTGTCACACCCTGAGTTGTCCCTCGGTTCTTCCTTCCACTGAGCTCAGGCAGTCAGAACCCAGGCTGCCTCCAGTCCCCTCAGAAGTGACCCTTGGATATCAGATCTCCCATCTGCTGGTCTAGGCATGTGGAAGAGACAGCTGGCACAGCCCCTCCCAGGGGACTGCAATTAGGGGATATTTAATCCTGTCACCTGGTTCATTTGCAGTGATGGATTTGGGCTTGAGTGCTGAGTGGCGCCAAGAGGATATTGGATTACGAGGGGCCATCCCCTTCACCCCTCAGAGAGACCCGGCCCACCCATGCCCTGCACCTGTCTCTCTGGCCCCAAGGTGAGTCACCTGACACCAATGAATTAAGAACAAGCATTGGCTGTCACCTCCCCCTCTGCTCTCCACCTCATATTTCACCTGTATTTCACCTGAAACCTCCTACAGATATGAAAACACTGGTGACATTTGCACCCCTGACCACTGCCTGCCCTGCATTCGTTTTAGAGGTCCTGAATTATAGACTCTCGAGACTGAAGAGATTTCCAAGGAATTATCATCATTCCACTTCAGTTTTCCAGACTCTTGATGCAGGAAACAATTCACTGAGCATTTCTTTAATGTGCGTGTTTATTCTGAACCTCACCACTAGTCTTCATTTCCTCAGTCTTGTCCCTCATTAGTGTTATCAAGGACACTAGAAAAAGCCTGGGGGCCCAGAGATATAGATGTGTGAACAGATAAAACTCCTGTTCTCCAAGGTTCTTTCTAGATCTCTTTCTCTCTCTCTCCCTTCTTCCCTCCCTCCCCCCTTCCCTCTCTCCATTTGTGGTGGGGAAGAGCTGAAGTATAAAATAAAGAGTTTGAGCTAGAAAAGTCCCAAGAGGGAAAAATCAGCAAAACAAGGTTTTTCTGTGAATTATGTCCAAATGAATGAAGTGCCCATATGTGGGGAAAAATTCTGTAATTTCTGGGGATCCTTATTGAATAAAATTTTAACCAATCTTCTGTTCACCAATGTGAACCTTTGAGGAATCTCATACGAGTTAGTCTTAACTGTGTATGTGTGTATGTGTGTGTGTGTGTGTGTGTGTGTGTGTGTGTGAGAGAGAGAGAGAGAGAGAGAGAGAGAGAGAGAGAGAGTCAGTCTTTCTCAATAGTTCTGTCTTATCTGTGAGGTGGAATCTCTCACTGGACCTGCAGCTGGCCAATTTTTCTAGACTGGCTGTCCAGAAAACCCTGGGTAGCTTCCGGTCTCTGCCTTCCTAGCACTGGGATTAGTTGTGAACCACTAAACTCGGTTTCTTTCGTTTTTTAAAAAGCATGGGTGCTAGGTCCGCATCCCTGCATGATAAGTACTTCACTCCCTCCCTCCCACTGGATACATCTTTAAACAGCATCCAAGGAGAATGACCAGCCTCTACGCATGGAAAGTTTCCTGTGTCAGGAGAGGCGAGGGGTCCAGTGATACACAAGGAGTTCACTGCCTGTGGGACTTTGCACAGCATCTATTGACCATGTTGAGACCAGCGTTCTATGAAGCTATTCCTGGATGGTTGTGTGTGCGTTAAGTGTGGGGAGATCATATCATTCCTTCTGCTTGAGACAGTTCAGTGGTATACCATTGTCCTTGGGAGTAATGTGTCTCCATGGGTTACTACACGATGGTCTGACCTTACTGCCCTTCTGTCTTTCTTCCTTCTTCCTATATCTTCTTACTTCCTATGCATAGAGCATTCTGTGTGCACCTCTGTGTGTATATGTGTGTGGCTTGTACGTATGTGTAAGCACATGTACACAGCTCAGAAGCCCCAACAGTGCCCATGCTTTAGCACCTTTATATTGTGGAACATAGGCACTCCTTAGGGTCTGACGTGACTGATTCCTTATTATTCTTCAAGGTTCATCTTAAATATTTCACCTTTATGTAGTTCTGTGCTGAGCTTATTTGTGATGGTTTGAATAAGAATGTCCCCTGTAGACTCGTTTATTTAAACCTTTGGTCCTTAATTGGTGACACTGCTTGGGAAGGCTTAGGAGGTGTGGATTTGTTGGAAGAAGTCACTGGAGCAGGCTTTGAGATTTTAAACAGTTGTGTCATCTCTGCGTCCTGCTGGCCATTGATGAAGTGAGCCCTCAGCTTTCTGCTCCAGCCATCATGCCTGCTTGTTGCCATGCCTGACAGTCATGGGACCATACGCTGATATAGACTCTTCCTTCTGCAAGTGGCTTTTGGCCCATGGAGTTTCATCACAGCAACAGAAAAGTAGATCATACACCATCCATTGTATCTTTGTTTATTTTCTGAATGCTATCTATACATAAGTTTGTAACAAATAAACTCACTGGTTGTATGCTTTTTCTCACTTGAGCACAATCTCAGTACAGTGGCTAAACTTATTCCCAGTACCCAGAATAACCACCAGAATATCACAGCAGGACATAAATATTGAATCAGTGTGCACAGAATTCCTACTGCCAGTGAGCTTGGTGGCCATACTTGTGGGTGTTATTTAAGGAAATTGCTTGGTGTCTAGGCAGAGAGTCTCCTTACCTCCCCATAGCTTATTCATCTCACAAAGCAGTCATCCATGCTTTGTAACTCCCAGCTTAAGACTGACAAGCTGTTGCTACCCTGGCTCTGCCCTCTGCTGCCCTACTCCAAAGGCCTATTTCAAAGATGATCAAAGGGACTGGAACAAAGGATCATGACTGAGTGAGTTTTATGTGGCATCCTAGAAATGGGGACACTTTTAGAGCAGGCCCAGTCCTGGGAGGGTGCTCTTGAGAACTGCAGATATGCTACCATCAAAGGGTCAACATGACCCAAAAAACACTTGAGAAGAGAGAATTTCTCTCCAGAGGAGGGGAAGCACTTCAAGCCCATCACTGTAGCCTCTGTTCACAGCGGGGTGTGTGTGTGTGTGTGTGTGTGTGTGTGTGTGTGTGATACACATGTGTGCATGTGTCTCCAGCCAGCACAGGCATGGAACATTTACTTTAAGTACGGTTGCATCCCAGGCTCCCAACTACCTTTGCAGATTGCCAGGAGCCTGATCTCCTTCTCTATCTACAGAGATACTACTTCTGTGAATTTTGTTTATTTTCCAGTGTCTCCCATAATAATTCCTATTCTCCAAGCGACTTCCTCCTGATGAACTGTGCCTGCCCCATGGCTCTTCTGAAGTCCATCAATGTCTGCGTCAAAGTTTGAAAATGCGACTGCTTTTAGGTAATTTGATAAATTGTCTTAAGGCATTTTCATATTCGTGTACTCTGTTTCTCCATTCCATTTATAAGCTCCTTTAGGGAAAAATCTATATCTTTTTTTCATTTATAACCTTCTCCACATGATTCTTAGGACAGAATTTTCATCAGTGTGCTTATTGTCTGAACACATTCCTTTTGGTAGGCTGAGAACCCTTAGATGCTAACTTTATTTCATTCATTAATTTATTTAAAATATTTACTGAGGCTTGGTATGTGGCAGGCACTGGCTAAGTGCTAGGGGTTTAGTGTTGAAACTCACAGTCTGGGGCAAAGATGGAAACATATACAAATAACTGTAATACAATGTGGTAAGTGCTGTAATACAGGCACTGGGAGCTCAGAGTGCTCTGGAAACCCAGGAGGGAGCTTATGAAATAATTTACTTACTGTTCCAATGTCTAAATATGAATGTTTAGGTAAACACATTTTCTTTTGAAATGCTTGCAGCTTTTGTGATTTTTTCATGCCTATTATCTTATTTGATGCCTCTAACAACCCCTTTAATAAGCTTTTGTTCCATCAATTCACCTATACACAGAGTAGGGACTCAAGAAGTAGCTGTGGAAAGAAAGAGTAAGTGAATGGGGGAATCAATGTTATTCACTCAGGTTTGCAATTAGATAAATTAAATGTCACAAAGTGATTTGCTGAAGGTCATAAACATGTTCCCAGGTAGTCAGTGTAAACATTCCTTCAATGCCTGTGATATAAGGATTTCTCTGCTGTGCTGTGCCCTAAATAAGCTTAAAACATGTTTTTCTCTCCTGGGCGTCTGCTCTCATTGGTAGAATGTGAAACATAGCTCAAGTATGACTTCAAAGATGGAGAACGACTCACAAGGGAACAAGGTGATCTGTGATCAACCATTGAATCAATTGCATAGGCAGGAAGGACCCCAGGAGGCAGGAGAGTTCACTGTAGATTACATAGTCAGGAAAGACACACAGAAGCAAAAGAACAAAGCAAGAAGAAAAGAGGCAGTAGGCAAAAGAAACATTCCAAAGAAATGAAACCCACTAACCTGGTCTGTTAGTGCACTCTTTTCCATATCAACACCAATTGGACTGGAACACTCAACCTTGTGTTTAGTATTCTATCTTCAGGCTCTAATTGAACCCCAGATTACATCCAGGTCAAGAAGTCGTCTTGGGGAGAGGTTCTTCTTCACTCTCTTTGGGTCACCTAGACAAGGTATGTGTGTGAGGGTGACTCTATGCTAACTCCTCATTTCTGTTTCAGAGCCACTATTCTCCCCCTCACCAAGAAACACTTCATTATTACCACAGGCTCACGGTATCTGTGTCTTGCAGCCCTTTCTTCCCAATTGAAACATTCCCTCCTGCGTGTTGGAGGGAAGCCCATGGAATTTCCTAGGCTTAGGAGGCTCAAAAAGGCACAATATTTTCTTGGTCTTGTCTTCATGTTACACAGGCAGTGAACAATTGCTAGAGAGAGGGGACTCTGCCTTTAGGTTATGCAGGGAACTCCAGGCATGTGGCTTTTATGACACCATGCTCCTGTAAGTAACCCCAATAAACTCATTGCTTCACCAAGCTAGACTTGAGTGGAATTGTTTCTGTGGTCGGTCTGTTGTTGATGCCCCATCTCAAGTCACAGACATTTGTTCAGTCCTCCCAAGGAAAAGTCACACAACAGCCTTCCAAACCCCTCTCCACCTCTTTTCATCATTGCTCTCCTTAAAATTCCTGGTCAACCTGGAAGATATGAGGTCATGCATAATACTCCTGCTTAGGGATGTAGTAAATATGTTGACAGGTACCTCCCAAATCTCAGTCTCTTTTGTTTTCGACCATTGCCTGATACAAGTGTGATCTAGGAACTGCGTTCATATTGTATGGTCCTGCTTCCCTTATTCACAGATGAGAGAACCAACACAGACATGTGGCCCAGAGAGCCAACCATATCATCTCCTGCCTGGGTTGAGAGAAGAGAGCAAGAGGTGATTTTTTTTTCAGCTAAGCTGGTCCCTGAGATGGGATAACGTGGAATAGGTGACCTGCATGGCAGCCATCTTAAGCCGTGTGCCTGCTGAGTAGAAAAAGCCAATCTGAAGGAGGGTAGTGTCAAATGAACAGAGAGAGGTGAAGCTGGAACCGCTGAGCTAGAACTATGCTGGACACTTGCCAGCTCTGCAGTCCCTATGGGGACTCAATCGTTTCCTTTCTGCCTTTGTCTTTAAGATATCCCTGTGTCCTTGGAAGCATCACCCAATCCACATTTGTATGCTTTTGTTTAAAAACTTTGCTTTTAATCCCCACAGTCAAAACATCTTGGATAAAAGAAAAAGTTAAATCTAAGTTAATAAAGAGAACAAGATTTGACACATGCAAAGATAGAAATGATCCAGTTGAAATAAAGGGATGTTCTCTGCTCTTGTCTAATTACATGCTGAAGACACAGTCATTAGAAAGTAGAGTTGAGATATATGGATTGGAGAATGTGAGGCTCTTCCTTCCAGGATAATCTAGAAACAGTTATTGCTTCAAACTAAACCCATTTTGTTCCTTTATTTCTTGTTTATTTTTCAAGAAAGAAATAGGGGAAAATGAAAGCAGAAACTGGGACTCAGGGGGCAAATAATTTGGTGCTTTGGATGCTCCAAATGGGGTGGAGTTTAGGAGAGGTTGTCTTGGCAACCTCACATCCATACAGAGCGAAGTCTTGGAACTAGGGCCTATGTGAAGACAAGACCAGCAAATTCACACGTTCAGTGAAGAAGGGAAATGTGAGACAGGAGGAAACTTTGAGCACAAGGCAGCCACAATGAGGGTTGTTTGCCCCTGCCCATGCTCTGAGCGATAAAGGAAAATATTCCTTGGGAAACAGAACCCTCGAGACTCCATACTACGTGGTTTAGAGTTCAGATTTATTGTATCTGTTTAACTGTTGCCTGGAAATTTTAAGGTAGTAAATTTATATTAATATGAAGATAGTTTTTTGCTTACCAAAGCCTCGGGATTGCTGATAGACACAGCTGATGATTGTCTTTGGAGGCATGCTCTGCCAGTGGCTTTCATAGTAGAGAAATAGCCCTGTCAGGATGGGCTCACAGTAAACAATGACAAAGTACAAATGGAAATGTTCTACCACGAGTGAGAACTGGGAGGCAAAACTAACAGGAAGATTAAGCACCAGGAACCGGACACCGCAGAAGATAACTTGGAAGATCATGATTGTATAGAAAGAATTGAGATCTTTATCGTGAAACATAAATTCTATGATGTGATGACAGCATAATTAATCAGAAAATGCAAGATTTAATATGATCTCTTTATTCTTGAGAATTTCATATGTGTGGACAATGATATTTGGATCATATCTACCCCCATCTACCTCATTGGGCTCCCCCAGACTACACAGGGTTGAAAGAGAGCCAAATGGAAATTTAAAACGCAGACTTTGAGAGAAAAAATTCTGTGGGAACAGGTTAGAAATAGAGGAGGAGAGTAATCGAACCAGAAGCTTCAAGAGACTTTAACAAAAGGACCAAAAGCTTAACTCAAAGTGGAATCCGGTGAGTGACAGACGACAGAAATATGAGAAGATGAAAACTGAGGGTGAAGTGATAAACTGTCAGCAAATGCTCAACAGTTTGGGATGGGAAGAGCAGAGACACCCTTATGCAGTGAATACATGTGTCCAGCCCTGCAGGCAAGTTTGGCTTCATATATTTTTAAAAGCACAATGCTTTGGCATGATAAATAGAAATAAGTGCTGACTAGTTACATCATGGCGAAAATGCCAAATTCCAAAGTCAGAAAAACCTTAGAAGGCAAAGAAACCATGCTGGTTTGGGCAGCAAACCATCGCAGCAGTGTTAAGGCCAGTGTACAATGGATCTTGCCTTTAAAATGCCAAGGAAAAAATTGCCAGGCCAGGACTGGTTTTTGCAATCCAAAATAATTGCCAAGTGTAAGCTATGATAAAAACGTAAAGGAGAACTATAGAGATATTGGTGGGGGGAGGCAGCCTGAAAGATGTGTGAGATCCCGTGGAGATAAACACTAAAGAAAGGAGGTGAATCTGGAAGGAAAGCGTGAGGTCTGAAACTCAACAGTGAACAGAACGTAAGCAACGACTGACATATAATTATGAAAATACCTAACTTGAAGTTTATGAAAACAGGATGGACAATCAGATAGACGATGGAGGGCTGAACTCTAATCATTCAGGCCGAACAGTTCAGAGTTAAAAGGTTCAGACTTTCCTGGTTTGTTGAGGATAGAAATATTGATTCAGTTTTAGATTTTTCAAGTCTGCAGTCATATTGCAAATTTAAAGCTAGCCACATACACATCTGAAATGCTAGGAATACAATGCATAGAGAAAATGCCTTAATTAGGGATTCTATTGCTGCGACAAAACACCTTGACCAAAAAGCAATTTGGGGAGGAAAGGGTTTGTTTTGCTTACAGTTCCGCATCATCAAAGGAAGTCAGGGCCGGAAGTGAAGCAGGGCAGGAGCCTGGAGACAGGAACTGAAGCAGGGCCATGGAGGAGAGCTCCTCCTGGAGCATCCTCATCTTTGCCCAGCCTACTTTCTTGTGGCACCCAGGACCACCAGCTCAGGGGTGACACCTCTCACAATGAGCTGGGTCCTCCCACATCAAACATTAATCAAGAAGGTGAGCCACAGGGTTTATCCACAGGCCAATTCAGTGCGCTCATTTTTCTCAGTGGAGGTTTCCTCTTCCAAAATAACTGTAGTTTTGTCAAGTTGACATAAAAGCCAGCCAGCAAAGGGAGGAAATTAAGAAGAAATGCAGCCAATCAAAGGGAACATGGGAAACTCTTAAGAAGGACAAAGCATTGAAGTACAGGGAAGTCCAAATAGCGAACACAATAAACACATGACAGCGGATGTTGTTTCATACTTTGAATACATCCTGGAACAGACTAGGTGAAATGAAGATCAAGACACCATTACCAAAGGGTCTGAACATGGGGGGTGGTTTACATTAAAAAAAAAGTGTATGGGAAAATTTATTCTAACTGATAATCAGGATATGCAAGCTCAAAAAAGATGCTATTTGATACCTAGTGATTAAAATATGAGTACCCATGAGGAATGAAGGACACACGAAACACTGGGCTCTGAGTAATTGGGAAATACACCTGGGAAAGTGGAAGGTGGGCGTCTAAATCAGTAATTCCCACTTTGGCTATGAAGAAGGAACAGAATCCAGAGGCGCCCTTGGTATCAGCAATGAGGAAAGCCTGTCTGAAACTGAATTTCCAGGACTAATCCCGGAGAAGAGGAGAACAAGTGAAAACTACAGCTATCGTGGACTTCTTCAAGGAAGCAGCTCCCAGCCTGTGGGGAGAGGAAGCCAAGCAGCCCCACATACTCAACTTGAGAGGTAGATATGCGAGTCTATGGAGATTGAAGTGGCAAGAATGCATGGGGCAGAGCAATG